AAGCCCTTGCAGGGATCCGGGGGGTGGATTATTTTTTTTTTTTTTTTTTAGTGAGGAGAGAGTTTAGTGATGTTTACAACAAAATCCATTTGCATATTTCAACAGAACGTGTACAAAGTCAACTGTGACTGAAACTGGTAGAATAATATTTCAAATGTTCATAACCTTCCTGCATGATACTGAATGAGCCTCAAAACCCATTTCTCTCGTAGAGCAGACCACCTGCCATCTATTGGGGTGTAAATAGTTTGAACTGGCAGCTTTGTCTGTGTTTTAATGCGTAGGAAACGTTTATCCGGGATGCGATGCGTCTGGTTTCTCTGTTGGAGGACGATGGTACTGCTGCACGGAGCCTGACTGACAGAAGTCGGTGAGGTTGAGCCTCGACATGTTAACACTGGAATTGAAAACACAAGCCATGTTTGTAGTTGTTGAGCAGCTCCGTTTTCTGTGTTTAAATTATTATAAATGCTGCTTCCAGCTTCTTCTTGTTTTTATTATTATTAATTTATAAACTTAATTTATTGTTTGGTATTTAAATTTTGTAAATGAAATCAATCTTTGTTACCTGATGCTTGAGAGAGTTTTGACTCTGCTCTTATTGAGCGCACTCTGAAGCGCTTGGCAGATTTTGAGATTGCTCCTCTAGATTAATGCAACCTGAACTTCTGGCTTTAGTTCAGTGTTTAAAAAAAAAGAAAAGAGCTGTGACTGTTATCTCGGTATGTTTTTCTGAGCCATGTTCACTCGTGTTTGCTTCATCTCACACCAAATCACAGGATTTTGCTTCAATTAATAGGTAATGCAGTCTGTAAAAAGTTAAACTAGTCTTGACTGTCATTTCAGGAGGGTTTAAGGTACTTTTTTTCCTAATTTCTTTTCTTTTTTTTCTAATTATCACTGGTGGTAACCTAAGCACTTACAAAAAAAATTAAGAAGGAAAAAACACATTGAATGCAAATGGTATGTATGTATGACCTTGGAAAATGCACTAATTTAACTTCCGTCCTGGAAATGTTTGAAATAAATTGCTTATCAAATCCGTCTTCTGCTTACTTTCTTTTTTTCTTTAACATATTAAATGGAGATAAACCTTAAATGTGGTTGACCAGCTTTAGCGTAGCTTTAGTGTATTGTTTTTTTTGTTTTTGTTTTTGTTTTTGTTGTTGTTTATCTACCCCTGCAAGAATTTAGGAAGTGCTAGGAGGTACCAGAGAGGTGAGGATGGACCTCTCCACTAAGTTCAATATTAGCTTGTTTGTCAACATCCTAATTGAAGAGTCATACTGCCAATGTGAGCCAGAATGTTGTCTAGCATTTGTCTGTGCAGTGGCTCTTTTGGAAAGGATTTCACTTGACAATCCTCTCGAGGCTGAGGATCTCCCTGTTAATCCTTCCACTCGATTTTTTGTACTTGGATACAGAACTCTGTGAAGAACCATCTTCATAACATTTGGGATCTTAATCATCTTAAAGCCAAAACAAATTCACAAGAAAAAAAAAGGCTTGGAGTATATCACCATCTGATTTATGAGTTTCACTTTATGAGATAACTAGCAAGAAATGTTACTCTTTTACGAAATACAGTCATATTTTGATGCTGTTGGCAGAAAAAGCGGGTCTTGTGTCCTGTAACTGCATGGAGAATAGAGTGTGGGACTCAAACGTCAAAACCTCCATTTTTTTTAAAGGGGGCGCGGTTGATTCAACGTCACTTCCGCCTATGTTTGAGAGACCAGCCGCCAAAAACCCAGCAAGCAGGGTAGCTGTTAATTATGGTGTCTAAGAAGGAGAAAATCGATATCCGGAGGTTTATAAAAGGTCAACTCCTTGATGAGCCAGACCTTAGGTACGTTTAACCCTTATTATCATAAAGAAAAATACTAGCATTTAAAAAATACCCGCTATTTGTGGTCATTATTCATCTCCACGAGTTCTGTTTGTTACTTGCTGTTGCTTCTTTTTGATAAGGAGATGTTTGCCTTAACTTTGACGCCGTACACAGATATTCAATGGTCATTTAGACGCTCTAATTGCACTTTCTTCTTTTAGTGGTTTAGAGTTCAACCACAAGACTGATCTGTCAATTGGCGACTCAGCGTGTCAGTGTTTTCAATTTATTTTTTACGGTTCAATAGTAATAAGCTGAGCTACCTGTCCTGATTATAGTGTTGTTTGATCTAACTACTCGTTTGAGAAAGGTTTATTTCATTCCGTACATATCAATCGGCCCCCTCTAGTGACAAACTGTTGTCACTGCAGAAATAGACCCACATGTTTTCTCTGTTTTGGTTTTTCTGGAAAATGTTTGCTTGAAAAATAGCTGTTTGGATATGCATTTAAATATTTAACTTGCTGCCAGTACACCTGATTTTCCCCACCGTGGAACAATAAAGGATACATTTCCGTGCTAATCTTTGCTACTATAAAATGCCATGAAATAAAAATTCTAAATATTAGGGACATATAATTGTGGTAACTGATTTCTATTGTCCTCTAAGGTATGTTGTTTTTTACAGTTCTTTGAAAGAAAGGAAGGAAGAAAGAAAGCTTTCCTCTTAATTCTCAGATTGGTCAAGATCTAGTGAGGGTCCAGGTGGTTCCAAATCAGACAGATTTTTGTTTTGGGATGCTCAGGGTGCAGACATGTTTATTTATTTATTTGTTTGTTTGTTTGTTTGTTTGTTTATAATCCTTCCCAAGATTTGTGCTTTGACACAACCCGGTGTTGGAGGTCTGAAGCAAATTTCTGTAACTTTATTCCTTAGTTTTTGTTCTGATATGCATTTATCAGCTGTGAAACCTTAAATTGTACGTAATTAAAGATAAGTAAAAATCAGATGTAGCTTACTTCTGAGTGTCCTGGCAAGAAGTGTGAATATTTGTGTACGTACATTTTTATTTTTTTTTTTTGCATATTTAAAATGTCGATATCTTCTTTATATATTACAAAAATGTTTGACAAAATGTTTTTACTTTTTGTGTGCATTTAAAAAAAAATAATCTATGCCCACATCATTTGTAGAATACCTCTAAACATGACATTCAGTGGAATCATAGATTCATCTGTGAGTTGTTCCATCCTGCTCATCAAAAGTGTTTATTTTCTTTCAGCACGCTGACCTTAAGAATATTGAGAAAACGATACCTGGCTGAAGCAGGATGTGAATCATTGAGCTCTGAAGCAAAACAATATATGAAACAAGTTGTGCAAGAAGAACTCATGAAAATGCAGGTATCTTAAACAAAAGGGTTGTCAAGCCTTTAATTGTTTGCTTCAAAAATACGATTTATTTTTTTTTTTGTTGTTGCAAGTTGGTGAACCAAAAAAAAAAAGAAGACAAATGTTTCCTGATGCAGAACACTGCACCTGCATTGGTCGTATTGCTAACGTGCTAGCAGTGTGTTTTTATTGTTCATGCAGGAAGTATTTGTACTTCTGTTTTTGCAGTAAGCAAGTTCTGTTTACTCTAGGAAAATGATGAGAGTGAAAGTGAGCCGGAAACCAAAAAACCACAGAAGAAAAGGAAGAGAGAGAGAGAAAAAGAGGAGTTGGAAAGTGAAGATGAAACCGAATCCACAGCAAAGAAATCACGATCACAACACTCTGGCTCATCATCAGGTATGAATTAGGTCTTTTGTTTAAATAGCTCCCATTTAAGTCATTAGCATGCTGCTGATTTGTTAATGTACATCATCAACAATTAAGCGAACGGTCCGTTTTTAGTTATGTTTTTATTCGTGGCCTGAAAGAATATGTCACAGCAAAACTAAACTGTCAGATTGCATTAGAATAACCTGCTAGAACATGAAATTACTGATCTTAAGCAATATGGATGCAGCAAATGTGATGTTCATGAGGAGAGGTCACCAAGACTTTTTTCTTTTCCTTTATGACGTTCATGACAGATTCTGAAGATGCGCAGAACCGTGAAGCAGGAAGTCAAAACAAAGAACAAATTAGATCTCAGTCTAAAAATAAAGAAGCAGCAAAGGAATCAAACCAGGAGAAAAGCAAAAAAGCTAAGCGGCGTGTCACAAGCGACGAGTCTTCAGATGAAGAGATGAATGAGTCAGAAGAGGATGGGAACGAGAGTCCGAGTCCAGAGGAGACGGTGAAAAAGAAAGTCAGTGCTGCTGAGAGCAAAGAGACGAGACACGTCGATGCAAGTGGAGGGAAAAAAACACCAAGGGGCGACGAGGAGAGTGAAAGTGATGCAGACAGTAAGTCGGAGAAAAGTGAAAAAATCAAGGATGGTGATTCTTCTGCCAGTGAAAAAGGTAACTGTTCAACATGAGTTTAATATGTTTAACCATTTACACAATAGTATGATTAATGCTGTTGAATGTCTTGTCCTTGTGCCAAGTAGAAGAAAATGCGAAGAAGAAAAATGATTCAGACTCGGATTCATCATCGCTGCCATCTTTGGACGAAGAGAAGAAAAGCGACCCAGAAAAAAATAAAAATGTAAAGATGAAAAAGAAAACAAAGAAGACAGATGAGAAGAACCGAGGCCCAAAGGTGAGCTCTTCGCTGATGCAAGAAATCTCAACCCGAGCGTTCATGATTTCAGACTTTTTTTTAAAATTATTTTATTTATGATGGTAAGATGACTAAAGAAGGTGCTGCAGTACTGTTGTGATTTAAAAAAAAAATGTTAAAACATGTCTTCATCTCCTCAGTTGTCTTCTTGTTCCTGCAGGATGAAGACAAAGCAGTCGTGCGACTCAAACGCTACATCGCCCTCTGTGGCGTGAGGAGGAATTACAAGAAGCTACTGGACGACTGCCGCTCCACTCGCTCCAAAGTGGCCGTTCTAAAGAAGGAGCTAGAAGACCTTGGGCTCCGTGGTCAGTGGGGATGTGTTCGTCTTTTCACCGACTTCAATCTTGGGCCTCTCTTTTTAACCGAGAGTACAAAATCATGATCAAACACCTAGATATACACCTCTGTTTATACTGAAAATGCAGAATCATCATCAGCCTCAATCAAGCATCGTAATTTGCTTTGAACTGCAGCATCTATCCTCAAAAGAGGGAGAGGAGGAAAAATGCCTCCAACATTTGAAAGGACAAAGACTGTTTTAAATTGTCAAAGGATCAGCAGACGAGCTCAGACTGACTCTTTTCAGGTTATTCTCTCATTCAGTATCTTCAGGTACTGGAAAACACAATCTTAACGAGATGAGATATTATTCAGCTGCCAGGACCTCTCTATTTTTCCTTATCTTTTGACATTAGTCAATAAAACAAACGTCAGTGTAGACTTGATTAAATTGCTGTTATTTGAATTTAACATTTATTAAGGGTGGTTTGCTTCTCAAATCACTAAATTCTCTAAATCAAATCACTAAATTATTACTCTGCCTTAAAGTAAAATGGCTATTCCCCTCTTGTGTAGGTAACCCCTCTATTGAGAAATGTAAGAAAATTCGATTGAAGAGAGAGGAAGCTCAGGAGTTGGCTGAACTTGACGTCCACAACATCATCTCCACCAAAGGTACGTTGTAAATATTTATTTTTTTTTGGTTCTTGGAGCCACAGATGAGTAAGCGCCTACAATACAAATACTATAATATTACTGTTAGATGGTTGTTGTTGTTTTTTAAATCCAGACACATTGATCAGCCACTAATGACTTTTGAAATCTGACAAGTTTGGATTTTATTCTGTTAATATACGCATAATAAATCTACTTTTTATATATATCTTCTACCAATTTTAATAACTGAATAGTTGCTTTACTTGTCTTGATCCGATATTGTTCTTATGCTGTTTAATAATAACTTTTGTCCTGCATAAGCTGATGATATGTCTACACTCCTTGCAAGCAGGTCGGCCGAGACGCAGAGGAACCTCAGCCATGCAGGTGCAGAAGGAACCTCCCTCCTCTTACCAGCGGACTCTGAACTCTGATTCAGACTGCGACCAGGAAAACGACGCTCCCAAAGGACGCAGAAAGATTTCAGAGTGGGCCAACCTTCATGGGATCATCAGTGATGATGCAGACACTGACTGAACACGGACTGTTCCACTTTTATACCATTTGTTGTTGACTTGTTCATAGTTAAGACTTTCTTTGTTACTGGAAGCTCAATACTTTTAATAACCTTTTAAGTAAAATTTGATAGTGATTTTTTTTGAGTGCTCTGATTAAAATAAAAGTTATGATTTCTGATTTCATTTGATTTTAATTTTATACTTTAAGCCAATTTTACATCTGCCTGTAGATTCCTTTAAATTTTGCAGACTGATAAAGACTGAAAAATCTGTCAGCATTTCCACAGTTGCCAAAGTATTTTCATGGTTTTAAACTCAAATTAAACAATAAAAACAAATCAGTGTGTTAAAGACTCGCAATAATGTGATTGGATTTAACAGCAAGAATTTCAACAGGAGTTTATGTAAAAACATTCTTCTAGCTAGGGTTACTGTGTATATACATTTATTCTACATTTTTATGTGAAGTTAAACCAGCTTTAACTGCATGTAACCTTGTTTATATTATAGAACTGCAGCTTAACAACAGAAAGAACAGAAAACTAGTTGCAACAGCGTAGTAAAAATATATCTTATTAGATATAGGCACAGGGTATGTTTATTTAGTAAGTAAGGACATTTCTAATATTGATCGGTTGGAATTGAAAATTTGTTTTATTGTATACAAACAGTAGGCATAGTTTTGAATTAAAGTTGATATTTTTTGTAGTGAACGTTTTTAGTTGATACGGTTGTGAGACCATGTTTTTGTAGCTTGCACTGTCTTTTTCTGTGTGTATGTTTGTGCAGCTCTTGCAGTGAAACTCAAGGTTTACTAATAAACCTCACTGTTCATCTTTCATTTGGGGGGGGGAGGGGGTCTGCTACAGTAAGAGCTTCAGAGGGCCGAGAATGAGTGACCTACCTGCACAACGTGTAGAGGGTCTCCTCCCTTCACACTGCATGGGCTGTTTAAGGACTATTAGGACTGAAGGCATTCAGCACGTTATAATGTGCTGGATGCCTTAAATCAATCAGTGATGCTTCATTGAGGACTTTATGAAGTCATGGCTAAAGTAGACCCCTGACTGTAAATAATCTGAACAGTCATGAGAATGATGTTTTTATTCTGATGTTAGAAAGTTCTTAAAGTAATATCTACATGGGTTATTTTGTTTGAGAAAATTATTTCTGTTCTTGTTTAAACCAATCAGTTATAATTTTGGTGGGAGTGTAAATAATCCCAAATTAAGCTCCCTGTTTGTTGTATTCCCTTTTTGGCACTTATCGCGTCTGCTACATTATGGCTTTAAACATAAGTACGCTCATCAATAAAACTACGAAATTCTAAGATTCCATATAATTTTACTTAGGATAAAATACCCGTATCCGGAACTTAAGTCTGCATTCAAGAATACGGAACGTTTTGTTGATGGACCTGTCCTACATGGTTTTATGTCCGCTCTCATTGCTTCAGGTCACTGAAGATTTTAGTTTCGAAAGCTTGAATTAACCGGAGTTTTATTATTAGCAGTATTTACGTTCAGGACGTAAGCGTTTACGTTTACTGTTGCTGTGTGAATATATAGGATTATTTCAGATAACGTTACACGATAAAGAAAATGAGTTTAGTGATGTAGGTTAACCAGTCCTAAATGCTTTTTAAAAAAGACAGGTCAACATCAAACCAGCTTTAACTGTATGTAGAATTCACTAAATTGATTATTTTCTCTAGATAATTATTATTAATATTATATTGTAAGTGTGCGGTCCGTTGAAAGGTGCAGTCTGAATCAATAATAGTGAAAGATAGGGATAAGTCTCTTTGCATCCACTCGTTGCAAAGAGAAGAAATACAGCCAGTAATCTGGTACTACAGTGTCATAAACTGGTCTTGTAGTCCAAACCGTACTGACTTTATCTTCTCCAAGGCTACATATTACGTGGGCCCTTTACATCATGGATATATAACTTTTCAACTGTGAATTGGACTCGACTCCCACTCATTTCTTGCATAAATGGATGATGACGCACCAGATGAGGTGTTTACTGACCTCAGGACCAGACACCTTGGAGGTTGGGGGGTTGTGCAGATAGCTGCTGGCACTGGGCTTGCTGTCTATGCCATGTGGGCTGGAGTCCTTCAGCCTGGCTTTCGGAGGGTGCCACTGAAGCTACAGGTTTGATGTGCATCTTTCTCAAAACTTAGGAATTGTAGGATAATGTTTGAATATGCTCTGAACATTCAGTTCTTGTAGGTCCCCTACATCCCTGCCAGCAAAGCACAAGTAAAAAATGTGATGACTTTGGTGAGAGGTCGAACAGGAGATCTAGTCGATTTGGGATCTGGTGATGGTCGTATTGTAAGTATGATTGTATGAACAAAAAAATAATAATTTCACCATACTGATTATCAGTTTTAAGTTGTGCTTTTTATTTAGGTTTTGGAAGCCTATCAGCATGGCTTTAGCCCAGCTGTTGGCTATGAGCTCAACCCCTGGCTTGTACGGCTAGCTCGCTTTCATGCCTGGAGAGCAGGTTGCCACGGAAAAGTTTCATACAGACAAGAAGATCTCTGGAAGGTTTGATATATTTCCCTTATTAATAATTCTACCAAAGCCAGTTGTATAAACAAAGTTTGCACCAGCCACCAACCCCCTTTTGACCTTTGGATTCCATGCATACTTAAAGTTACACAGAACAGCCATTATGAACCTTTAACCAGAGAAAACCTCCCAAATCAAAACTGCTTTTTGGTCTGTCTGTATTTTTTATGCAGACCTTTTCAGGTTTAATTGCAACTAAAACTGTAGCTTAAAATTCAAAGCTTAAAAAGATTGATAAAAAAGGAAAAATCTAACAGTTAATATTACTTGCATATTAGTGAGTACTGAACAGAATTAATAAAAATTGAAATGCTTAGTTCAGACAAAAACTTTATGTTTGCTTATATTCTATTGGTTAGGTTGTATAAATCTTTCACTTGTCGCTAGTCAGAACTTCTTTACTATTGTCAGTGACATATAAGAAACTACATGACCTTAGAAATTATTATAAATACAAAAACACCAGGTTTTTTTTTGTTGTTGTTTTGTTTTGTTTTTTGTTTGTTTGTTTTTGTTTTTCAAATGTTTAGAGTGTTTGTTGCTGTATTGTTTCTGCCTAAACCTGTAGCCTAAACCTACTTACATTCCTCTTTGTGTCCCACCTCAGGTCGACTTGTCAAAATGCAAGAATGTCACAGTGTTTCTGGCTCCAAGTGTGGTAGGTGCTGTTATGAACATATGTCTCATAGCTGGAAGAAGGTTTGGTGCCTCATTTTACAGACATTACAGAAACTAAATTCTTAAAACTGAAGGTCCTCAGGCAGGTTGACTCATTAAAATGCTTTTAAAACACTTACGTTACATCATAAGTTGACCATGGCCCTCCTTATTTGTTATTTTGTAAATGAAAATTGAGTTTCTTACCAGCATTATCCAATATTGTTTTAGTCAATTTAGGTGCACATTTTAAATGGATTGGTTCATCATATTTTTTGGTGATAAAAGTCTCATAAGGAATCTAGAAATAGCACTGTTAATGAAAATAGGCTTTCTATTACATGTAGGTTTTTGACTAATGTCTTGCTTTCCTGTATTTCTAGCTGTCTTTATTACAGAAGAAGTTGCAGGTTGAGCTTCCGGATGATGCCTTAGTAGTGGCCGGCCGTTTCCCCTTCCCAGACTGGAGCCCTTGCAGGCTTGAGGGGCAGGGAGTGGACAGGGCCTGGGCGTACAGCATGCAAGCACAACGACAGCACACAAGTCAGAAAAATGGAAACCTCAGGCCAACAGTGAATGACTCCGATGATAAACTGGTTCAGGAATAACGATGGACTTTGAAGATAAACTGATGCACTTATTCAGAAAGACAAAGGTTAATCGGCTGACTTTGGGTTAACCATTCTGAAGTAGTGAAGTTTTAGGACTCAGTTTGACAGTTTTTACATTTTTAAAAATTTAGTATTTTAAAAAATACTAATTTTTTAAATTGTGACATCAGTTAATCTTGACAAAGTTTTCAATATCACACTGTGGTTTATTTATACAGGTGCTCAATTAAAACACTGGTATAAATGAGACAAAATAAAACCCATGGAAAAAAGACTTGTGCAGTGACCTTTGGCATATTGATTGAGTTATTGGAACAAATTTTAGTATAGAAAAACTACTATGCTTGAAATGTCCTACTTTCCGGGTGCACTGTAAGTATCTTTACTGTCCTGTAGAACTGGATTTATATTATTCATTTTTTGTTTGTTTGTTTTTTACTTGCCATATCTCATATTTTAGATTGTTTTAAAACAAAAGCTGATGAGCAAAATTGCTCTTGCATTTTTTACCTGCACCATGATAAATAAAAAACCTTTAATGTGTTCTATAAGTTATTGTTTTGCTGTTGAAACTGTACACCCATAACTGATGATTAAAGGTGCTGCATTGTGACTTATAATGTAGATAAGTATCATACGTTGATATCATATTTTGATTACAATGCGAGCAATGGAAACCAAGTTAAATTTCTTGTTTGTATCCACAAACCTGACAAATAAAGTTGATTCAGATTCTTATTTTCATGAACAAATACGGTTCACAGTGGTGCATTGACTTTTATATTTAGCTTTAATGTGTTTTTATGTTTTACACACTTGTCTTTTGTGTATTTTTTTCTGACAGAGATAATCTTTTTTATGAAACATACTGTATTTATTTTTTCCTAAGCTATAAATAAAAGTATTGCTTATTATCTTTCTATGGCTAATAAATTGCCCTTCAATGCAGAATGTCAGTGTTGACTCAGTTTACCTATTTTGACATCAGCTAAGTGTTTCCCACTCAGTATTTAAGATTTGTGTGATTCCAAGTCAGGTTGACTATTTAAACCACTGTCTCTTTTTCCCCAAAGTAAACATAACTTATATCAAGTTACACAAGTCACCACAGGTCAGATCTTCCGGTGTTTTTTTGTTTTGTTTTTTGTTTTTTTATTTTTATTTTTTATTTATTTATTTATTTTCCGTGTCTGAATTTCTTCATTCAATTTTTAGTTTTCAAAATAAAAGTTCCAATATATTTACAATTTAATTTTCCTTCCTGTTTAATGGAGATGCAGATCCTGCACAGTGAATTGCTTGATAGAGCTTGATGGGCATTATACAATTAAATTGGGATCCAATTATACTGTATGATAGGAAATTAAAATCTGTCTGTATTTAGATAATATTTACAAACATAACTGAATTGCATTGAATAAAATTTAATTGACCAGATGTTTGATTAAAATTACAGCACAAAAAATTTTGGTGTATAGGAGTTATAGCAGTTTATGGGTTTCCTGACTAAGTAAATTATATGGGTATGAAAGGCAAACAATAAAAACCTTTGCATATATTTTATTGTCAAAGTAGTTATGTTGAAACATAAAAAGTCAAAGGTTTTTCTTGTTTTTAGTCAATTATATTTAAGTATATAAATTTACTTTTAAATGCTTTTTAAAATTGTGATTTAGATTTACATTTGTATACATAAAACTCAAATTTTTTTTCTACAGAAGCCGACATGGCCCAGTTTTAGAGCTTTATCTTAACCATAAATAAGGAGTAATTTATTTCTATATGTAATAATATTGTTGCGATATTGCTTGCACTCAAAACATGTATGTTGTCAAATAGACTCTATCGTTTGAAAAAATAAAACCGGATTACGTTTCTTACCCTTTTTGACTTGACGGGAGCTGATTGGGTTGGTTATGTCAAAAGAGGAAGTTGTGAGGCAGACTCTAACCTGACGCTAGCCGCCCTAAGCTTTGAAAAAGGAAATAACAGGAACAGACGTGTGTAGAGCTATTAGCTCTATAATTGCACGGTTGTAAGATAAGTGTTCGATATGAATATTAATTTGAGCCTAAATAATAAACCGTAAAGAGAATTCGTCGTGAGCAACGGCCACGGAACCATGCCTGCGGTTGACATTTAAGCTAACGAAAATGATGCCTCCAGCCTTCTAGAAAAGCTAACAGCTTTAGCCGCATCCGCTGCAGCGGTAGCAACTGGGTAATTAGGCGACGAAATGGCAAACGTTGAACGCTGATTAATGCTTTTTAACTTCAGTGGGATCGAAAGAGGCACGCCTGGCTCTATTTTCGACAAATGGTTGTTCGGTTTGAAAAACTAACGGTAAATGGCGACCTACGACAATGCAGCTAACTTTTAATTTTGAGACAGACTGTTCAACGTTCAAACTGTTTTAACTTGCAGGTTTTATTACAGAACGGTAAATATACCGGTCGCACTGCAGTCGTTATTTTAAGTAAAACGGCAACTATTTTTGGCCATCGCTGTGTGCAGAGCACCAACCCAGCAGTTGTGCACCATGATAAATACGGTGTGCGGTTGCGTTAGCCAGAAACACCTTAGCCTGTGTTAGCATAGAATTTACTAGCAACGTACTAATGTTGGCCTATTACGGTCAACTGATCAGCGACTGAGTAAACTGAAGGACGCATCTGAGCCAGGCTAATATGGTAAGTACAGATTAATTTGTGTTATTTGTCTATTTCTGTCTTCCTGTTTGGTGTCTTTGCAAAGATCGTTTGAAGTGTGATCCGAAACGGCTCTTTAGCTGAATAATTTCCGTACAGCCTGATTGAATATCCCACGAATGGTTGTGCCATCTAACAGTTTGAGGCCAGGTACTTCTGTGAAATCTGACAGCTCTTTGAGCTATTTCACTGTGCAAGACGCCCGTCTTGCAAAATATTTGCTTTGCGTAGTGCTTAGCTTCGGCAAGTTGTGGCTTATTTGAGGAATTCAAACCTGCCTGCCAGGTGGACGGCTCTTTATAGGCCTAGCTTCTCCTACAGCAGGAAACAAGACAGCAACATTACGTTTTCAATAAACAGGACGGCGTAAAAAAAAAGTGCTAGTACTATTATATGAAAACTGACACAGTAGCGAGTAAGACAATTAGATTTGCATGCCTGGACATGCAGAGAAAGATAGGTTTCCAGCTCTCTGAGCACTTGATTCATGTGCGTTTTGTTTGACAAATTGCCTCAAAAGAAATGGACAAATAAATGTTTCTGCTTAATATTGTGCGCGTTTTGATCATTTTTACTCTGAAGATTTTTGTTGTACGTGTATATATATAGAAACACTTTCATGGAGAAGCTTATCTGGCATGAATGTAGATTTTATCTTTTGTTTACCCATTCCTTTCTCAAACTCTTCAGATTAATTTATTGGCTGAATGCTCACATTTCCTTTTAACATCTCTCAGGCATCGGATGAATCATCGCTGCGTGCATTGGAGAACCTGATGACAGAGTTCTTTCATAGCTGCACCACCAATGAGCGGAAACGGGAAATAGGTACGTTCAAATTTATAGAGAAATGTAAGGGGTTCATTCATGGTCTAGTAAAAGGTTCCTAGTTGAGATGGGCAATTATCAGATCAAAATTGAGCTAAAAATATGTAATCCTTTAAGAATAAAGGTTATGTTTACTAGCCCCTAAAACTCTTATTGTTAGGATTTTGCTGACTAAATTATTATTCCACTGTCGCTTTAAATGCTCAGTTGGCATTTTTAAGATAGAATTGATCTTAATAACCTATTGTTTTGGAGCGCAAGTGTGTAACTTTTGTGGTTAGTCTTATCAATGCAATAAACACAACAAAATATTGTGATAAAATTCAAAGTCGCTCTCATCTATACCTAGTTTTGACTCAGTCGGGAAAACTATTGAGCTTGAGTTTTAGTATTAAGAAAAAAAATACAAATTTTGACATGAAAAATGTCATACTCTGCCAATGTGGGTTCATTCTCTCTATAAAAGAAGCATGTGAAACTTGATACCAAAAAGTTCTCTGCAGGTCAAATGTGGCAGCTTTTAGTCTTACCGTCACGCTTTGTGTGTTTTAATCAATTCTTCTGAGTTACAGTTACTGCCAACTTGAACATGATAATCAAAAAAATCTTAATTTTTCCCAGTGTTCACCGTAGTTTATCAAAAACAATTTACACTCTCAACATATTTAGTGTGTCCACACAGGTTCCAGATAATCTCGCTGCTAGTCGTGCTTTTGCTAAGTTTAGGTGCAGTGAGTAAAATTTGCTAAAAAAACAAGCTTGTATATAGGATATATCCCGTTTAGATCGTCAGTCATGTTGCCTGTAGTTCACATGTAGGCCATGAGAACCGTTGGTGCACATAGATCCCTCCTACTCATTTCCTGTCGGTAACTCTATGTTCATCGTTGAATAAAGCCAAGATCCCTTGTGAGACATTAAAAAAATGAATTAGGTTTACAAATAATGTTTTATTGATTTATTTAAAGACAAGCAGCCTCAGTTCATGTAACTATCAGGTAAAGTTTTACGATGTTGGACTATTTCGTACAGCTTTCGTACGGTTCAAGACTTTCAAAAGTCTTGAACCGTAAATGCAACGTTTTACAGAAACTGAACGTCAAATGATGTGTTAATATTCATTTTTGAGTGATTTGTTTGCTGCCTTTTAAAAAAAAAAATATGATGTTAAACGTTTCCTGTGTTGCAACATGTTACTTTCAGTTTGTCTCTCGGTAAAGCACTACAAAGTCATCTACCTCTCTAAGATCTCACGCTTACTTCCTTTTTTCTTTTTTTTTCTGCAGAAGAGCTGTTGAATAACTTTGCACAGCAGAGTGGAGCATGGCGCCACTGCTTGCTCTTCCTCTCCAATACTCAGAATGAGTATGTAATGATGTACAGTCTCACAGTATTTGAAGTAAGTACCAGAGGTGGAAGATCAAAGTCCTTCCTAGAGTCTCCTTCCATTTAAATGTTTTAGAAAGAAGATGGTTTTAACAGAAAAGTATTGTTTTATTAATTTGGATTGATGATTTTGTGGATTTTTACCCACCTATCAAGAAATGAACATTCTCTCATTTTGGTTTGCATCTCATCTCAGGAGTAATTTTGGGCAACACTTCTGTACAGGAACCCTTTAAATCCTTCAAGTTTTTTTTTTTTTTTTTTTTTTTGCAGCTACTTGAAAGTTTCAGCTTCTTGCACAGATTTTTCTGTAGTTCTCGAGCATTTTATAACAAGCGTCACTTCAGTAAATGGCAAATTAGCCAACTACTGCTATTTTGGTCAATTTTCTACCTTTTTATTGATTGGTAGAACATTTAAAATGCATACTTTGAAAGATTAACAGAAAGTAGTGGGAGCCTCAAGTTTCTCTGCGATTTTTGACCTTAAATTCAAAAATGACTAAGTTGCACATAAAACGTTGTTCTTCAATTCAGCGACAGTGTTTGTTGAGGAGACATTGCTAACAATATCGCATTCTCTTCTTTTGCGTTGTTTTGTATAATTGTTGCTGTGTATTTTAATTGTTGCTGTGTGCTTTCAGAATCTGGTGAACAAAATGTGGATTGGATTGGCTTCACAAGACAAAATGGAGATTCGCAGCTGTCTTCCCAAACTCCTACTTGCTCAACACAAGTCCGTGCCGTATTTCATCCGTAACAAACTCTGCAAAGTCATCGTGGACATCGGTCGTCAAGACTGGCCAATGTTCTACCACGACTTCTTCACAAACACCCTTCAGGTGAGCCCTGCCGATGCAAGGTTTCTGTTTGCTGAGCGGTGTTTGAAGCATGTGAGCTATCTAATGGTTTGCTTTTGACAAACACTGCGAAGCCACAGTTTTTCTTATAATAAACACGTGCTCAGGTAATAAAAGTAGCTTCAAAAAGCTCGCAAGGCTTCTTTATCGTTTTGTGACTTTGCTTCTTG